CTTCTGGCTACGCGAACCGACAAAGTCCGCGCCTTGCGGGAGGCTTTTTACCGACAGAATTTGCCCAACCTCATGAATTTGATTGCTACAGTGTTTGTATTTGCTGTAGTCATCTATTTTCAGGTAAAAAGAGAAATTTCTCGTAGTAGCTGTAAAACTGTATTGGTAGAAGGTCATGGACTCCTGGTAATGTGTTCATTGCAAAAAGAAATCGCCAGAGTAGACAAATGAAGTATCTGATCTTGAGATCTTGTTCTCAACTCTTTGAAAGGGTAGATAACTGCAGGACAAGGGGAAATGGTTTTAAGTTGAAGGAGGGAAGATTCAGGTTGGATGTCAGGGAGAAGTTCTTTACAGAGAGTGGTGAGGTGCTGGAACAGGCTGCCCAGAGAGGCTGTGGATGCCCCGTCCCTGGAGGTGTTCAAGGCCAGGTTGGATGGGGCCCTGGGCAGCCTGGTCTGGTATTAAATGGGGAGGTTGGTGGCCCTGCATGTGGCAGGGGGATTGGAGATTCGTGATCCTTGAGGATCCTTGATCCCTTCCAACCCTTCTGTGATTCAGAGTAAGGAGCTCTTACTTATTCTTAATTTGAATAGTGTTTCTTCAGTAACATAACCCTGTGGCATTGCAGCTGTTCAGTGTTATGGACACACATGCTTGTACTCAGGCAGTGATGTCATCTCACTTTCCACTAAACACCACACGCACTATTTGGGTATTTTTACTAAAAGTGGATTATGAAACTGCTCTGGTTCTATCATATAATTAATATACTTCATATTCGAAGTTGAGTTTAAAAAGAAAATACTACTTTTGAACAGAGCTGAAGAACCAAATACAGATTTGTTCTAGAAAACAAGTGTAATTAATGCATGGCTTTTTGTTGCCTTTTCCCCCTTGATTTTTCATTGGATCCTTAGCTGGGGTTTGTCTTTAAACTTGAGTATTTCCTAAAATGGACATTAAAGGAGACCTGCATATTGGACTGTAGTGTTTTGTTTGTGTATCTAACCATGCATCTTCAAAGCAGTTCAGACTGAGTGGAAGCAAAAAAACTTGAATTCTCTGGTTTTCAAATTTCTTGGGCATGCTGGGATAGGAGCCTGCCCCAAAAAGGACTTAGAGACATGGCAGGTCTGCTGATACTTATCAGTTAAGTTAAAAGCCATTACATAGTTTCATCAAACCAAATGTTATAAATTGTTATTTTAGAGAAACGTTACTTACAAACATTCTCTCTTATTTGCTATAGAAAGAATGTAAAACATCCAAGCAGTAACACTTACAAATCCTTAAGGTCTGTAGTTCAGTCTGTAGCAAGAAGCCCTGAGGCTTTACTGTCCCAGACTTTGCACTCCTTGTTTATCTAACAAATATCCTCAGGAATAACTTGCAGGCATACTAGGAAGCATTTCTTTCTCAGAAATGAATTTGATGTGTTTGTGTTCTTTCTTGTAGGGCTTTCGTGTTGATTTGCCCATCAAGTCTGCCCGGTACCGAGGGCAGTACAGTAGCTACCCGATCAAGCTCTTCTACACCTCCAACATTCCCATCATTCTGCAGTCTGCCTTAGTTTCAAACCTCTATGTTATTTCCCAGATGTTGTCTGTTCGTTTTAGTGGCAACTTCTTGGTGAACTTATTAGGACAGTGGGCAGTAAGTACCTTAATCACCTTTTTAAAAAAGAATATATAAGTATATATATGTTACTTTATTGTGAAACTCAAGTATTTGACCAGCGGAAGACTGGAGTACTTAATTTCTGACTATTGTATGGCAAAGTGGCTTTTGGAATGTTGATGAGGAATTCCTCTATAAATGCAGGATTAGAATATGAGAGGTCTGTGAGAAACACCTACTTGTCTTCTTCCTCTTCTGTAGGATGTGAGTGGCGGCGGCCCTGCTCGTTCTTACCCTGTTGGTGGTCTGTGCTACTACTTGTCCCCTCCAGAATCCATGGGTGCAATATTTGAGGATCCTGTCCATGTAATCGTTTACATAATTTTTATGTTGGGCTCCTGCGCTTTTTTCTCGAAGACTTGGATTGAAGTGTCTGGTTCATCAGCAAAAGATGTAGGTGTTCTGATAAATGTGCCTAATGACTGTATTTTCAAACACTGCCTCTGATTTAGAACTGACTGATCCTTACTGATCAGTTATTACTGTGACTAAGTATCAGATGACTGTGGAAGAACTGCAGCAATTTCCTCAAATTATGTTTCTGCAGGTTGCCAAGCAACTCAAGGAACAGCAAATGGTGATGAGAGGCCACAGGGATACTTCAATGGTTCATGAGCTTAACAGGTAAGAAAATGCTGACTTTCAGCTGTGCTGCTCTACTGGGCAATGGAGAGCACTGGGAAGGTGTCAACGAGAACAAACGTTCTTGGAAAAATCTTGGAAAAATCTAGCTTGTTTCTGCTACAGAAGTCAAGATATTGCTCTCATTAAGCTGTCTTTCTCTGGAATGCAAAAGGTGCATATAGGATTAATGAAGAGATTAACGTAGGGTGTCTTTTGTGTAAGCAGAATAACAAAGGAATTTGGGTTCAGTCTCTTCTCTGTTTTTAAAAGGAAGACACCATCACTTTTACAGGTGTCTAATTTACCATTACTGAGCTAAAACAATGCTGCAAAAAAGTGGGCTTTTGTTCAATGTGCAAAGCCTGAAGATCTGCATTGCTAGGCAGATTTATGCCTCTGTATTTAAGCCAAATCTTAGTCTTGTGGAGGTTAAATAGCATGCATATATTTAAAAATAATAATAATAAATTGTTATCTCATGAATCAAAATCTTTACCAGTGATCAGTTGTTTATACAGCTTTCCTATCAGTGAATATTTGTTTTAATTTCTGTGTTGTGCAAGTGTGGTTTAGAAACTTTCAAGAGTTAATGGTAGAGTTGCAGCTGCAGAGCTGAGCTTGTCTCTAAATATTCTAGCTGGTTGTTTTAACAGTTGATATGCTTCTGAGCTCTTGTATGAAAATGCATGATCATGAATGTATGTTTTGGTTCCAGGTATATCCCTACAGCAGCTGCGTTTGGTGGTTTGTGCATTGGTGCCCTTTCAGTTCTGGCTGACTTTCTAGGAGCCATTGGGTCGGGCACTGGCATTCTGCTTGCAGTCACCATTATTTATCAGTATTTTGAAATATTTGTAAAAGAACAGGCAGAAGTTGGAGGAGTAGGAGCGTTATTTTTCTAGATGTCCAAACATTTCATGTTTGTGGGAAAGGGAAAGTATTTTGACAACATGAGTCATTTAGTCCAACAATGCTATTTTCTTTTTACTTGTTTTCAAGTGCTACATGTCCCATTGCTGTAATGGGCCTTGAGCAATGCCTGCGTGCAGCATCAGTACCAGCTGCCTTAAGAATAAAGTTTACATTATCTTGTTTGAGTATATCTAATGTTGCCTGTAATGCTGGAAACCAATTCATCTACCTTGCTGTTCAGACACTACAGTGAGATGGTATCAAAATGTATCAGTTTGGCACTGGTAAACATTTTTGCATACAGCATAAAAATGTTAAATTTATTTCCCCATCCTTAATAGGAAAAAAATTAATCTGAGTTCAGAACGCCACGTGCCAGTGTTCTTGAAAGAGTTGATTTGTAGCCTGTACCTTAATTTTTTTATACTTTTTTAACTTGTATTTTGCCATCATTGAACTCAGCACTCCCTTCTCCTTGGTGGTGTCCCCACCCAGTCGCCTGCCCCTCAGCTCCAAGGCTGGACAAGCAAACATTTTACCAGAGACTGATACCCATCTCATCTGTGAACTGGTTTTGTGGTGGATTTGCTGCATTGCAAGGCCTGGGGCACGTCAATTCCTTGCCCTGGGCTTCCTATGAGACAGCATGGTACTGCTGTCATGCTGCCAAGCCAGCCCCGTAGTTTTGTTTTAAACATGTATTTGTGAAGACTGTGCCACTGAAACTTCATGTCCACTTTGCTTTTGTGAGTCTAAAGAACAAAGCCTGGTTCCTAAAGCGGTGTTCATAGAAGGGAAGGGGGGAACGTGAAGTTCCTGAAAACTTATTTATGTTGTTGCACTTTACAGTGGCAACGTAACAAGTGTAAACATTAGACAATAAACTTATTTAATTAAGCTCTCTCCTGTGTCTTACCTGTGCAAGATCCATAATTCACATGCAGTGATTTCACACTCGCTGTGTTAGTGAGGTCGGTCTGGAAGGCTTCTCTCCTGTTTATCCTTTCTCTTGGAGTATATTTAAGGCTGCTGAAAGCTGATCTGAATTTTAAAAAGTAGTAATCTGAAGTCTTTGCCCCTTTAAAATCTTTTCTGTTCAGTTGTAGTCAGTGGATTTTTCCCTTATGGTTTCATATTTTGATTTTTTTTTTCAGCCTTAATTTGAAAGCACCTTTGTGGTGCTGTTTGTGAAAGTCAGAAAACCTTTCACAACATTTCTGCTTAATTTCTGAGTTAGGAAAAATCTTCCTAATTATGCATGTTCATCCAAATATATTTCAGAGACAGTGTTTGATATTAGCACATGCTTATGGTGACTTTTAGTTTCTAACCTTTAAGCTGTGGTGGTTGTTGGGGTAATAAAAAGCAGGTGACTGCACTGAAGGTTTGCTGGGCGGGTAATTTACATAGAAGTGATTAGATTGAATTGAAGTGCAACCTAGCTGTGTGCATATATCCAAGGGAACTGGAGAACTGCAAGGCTCTTCTACTAATCCCTTACCTTAAACAGCATCACTGACCTGGCTCCATTCTAGTTCGCTCCGGTTTATGTTTTGTTACCATCACCAACGTTGTCAGTTTCTCTGTTTTCTTAGATTAAACAATGCTTGGATCCGGTGAATTCATTTTCTCTTACCACTTAACTTGGCACAAATGCATAATGTGGTCTTCCGGTTTCTCTCTCATTTTGAACAGGTGTTGCTACCACACCAAATACAGTTGCTTAAGCATCTTTCTTATACTGAAATATCAGCGGAGTGATCAATAATCAGAAATGAGTCATCTTGAAAATTAAGCAGCATTTTTATTTTGATTATTCTGTCAAGGCTAGATAGACTAAACAGTTAGAAGAAATGCTTTCCGTCAGTTCATTCCAGGTAGAAATATCAGAATCATTCCTACAAGTATTTTTTTTACTCTACAAGTAAGGAACCTTTATTTCAAGAAGAGTTACACTTCTAAGCCATCTGGACTGGAGGATTCTCAGCTATATTTATTACTGTGAAGTTTTAGAACTTCATGAAAGGAACTTGGAGCGGTTTCTCTGTTGCACGCTTCAGGGCCAGTGCATAAGTATAAACCCTGGCATCCACTGCAATATGCTCTTCTGCTACTAGCTCTGAGGGGCAAGGGAAGAGAAAAAGAAAGTATGAGATGCAGTTACAACTTTCCACAAACTCCTACGTCCATTACTAAAATGGTGAATGGGATTATTCATGCGAACACCTCAGGCTCCCAGTAATTCTGTCGTAGGGTCAAGTCTCCTGCAGCTTTTTGTTTAAGATATAGACTTGTGAAGAGCTATGAGAAGAGATGCTAATGGTTACTTGAAGCTCAAATTAGTGCATTTAATGTCAGAAAGCTCTTACCATCGATTCTCTGCAGTAAGTCGTTCTTTGGAAGTGAAATAACTTCCACAAATTCTAGGAGAGAAGAAAACGTTAAACACCTCTAAAGCAGTGAACAGTAGAGGATGTCTGTCTTAGTGTCCTACTTCTTACAACCTACAGGAGGAAAAAAAACTAGCTTAACGCTCATCACTGTCTAAAAGCTGTGGACCTCTATGTATCATTAAAAAGCTCAGTGCCAGAGGGAAGGCAGTGACTGGGATCATTAACAGATTTGGCAGAAATAAACAGGGAAAAAAACTGGCAGCTGTGGAAGGTGAGAACCTTTCTAAAAGGAGACTTTCTCCTGAGAATGGAAAGTCTGTCAAACTGGAATCCTGTCTGGCTGAACTGGCACGGGAAGGGATTTTAGATGCATTTGAAGACCACAGCAGCAAAGTTTCTAAAGAAAAAGGGTTTGCTGTGGGTGAATATGTTTGCTTACACCTGCCTAGCCTGTATGAATTAGTTGTCTTTCAAGGCTTGAGTTACAGCTGTTGAGGATTCAGTTTGTATTTCTTGAGATAATGGTGCCTCTGTTGTAATATTTGAATACAACTGAAGTGATAATAGTCACAGGAATTTTCACAACTAGGCCATAGACAGTTTTGTGCATGCTTGATTTGGGTCAAGAGATTAACCAAGCCCAAAAAACCCACAGTTTTAACTGACATTTTCTAAGTAAAACATACAAACACACTTGACCTTCCTGTTACCAGGAGCACAGCTGTGTGACATACCTCCATCATCTGTAAAAAAAAAAACAAACAACACAAGGGTTTTGAAATACATTTACAGCTCAGAAGCATTCTGTTACCTGACTGAATGACACCATAGTTACTTCCAGGGTCAAGCCACAAGTAAGGAAAATCTTTTGGCACTCGCTAAAGTTTAGCATCTAAATTTCTTGCTGTAGATAAGCTGATACTTTAGATTTAACATCTAGGCATCCCCTGTGAATTTAGCAAATAAACATGGGTCTGCTTCTCTGTGCTGCAGGGTATGATTTGAAGACTTTACGGAGTCTAAATCATCAAGGATGGAAGAGAAGGATATGGTGGTAGGTAGTTCCATTAAACACCTTCTGTTCTCGTCTAAGAGTTTCCATCTAAATGTACAGAACTCACCAAGCTTTTGCTTAGGTCTTGTATTCAAGGCATCATCTCCATTGATGGTAACGCTCACGATGTGCGTTGTGCTGTTTGACACACCTGGATCCAAGCAGAGTGCTGCAAACAAGCAGACATTTGTTTTCCAAAAGCAGAGGCCAGGCATCTCACCATTTTACAAAATAACTTCCATCCGAATCACAAGTGTTATGTAAAGGATCGTTGTTAACAGCAACAATTTTCCCTATAAAGGTCAACCTTTAGTCCTGTTTGCAGGAGCTCAGCAACTGATTCATCAAGTACCAAAGCCTCATTGGTACAGCCATGGGATACAACTCTCTGTTCATTTCTGTAGAGTTTTTTGAGGTTTTTCTTTTTTCCTTTGGTTGAGTGTTTTGTATCATCCATCAGAGAGAATTAGCTTTGGGATGGAAAGAAAAAAAGAAAAGCACAGACCTGGAGTACATTCAATAACTTCCCCTTTGTAGCCCGTTTCTTCCTCCAGCTCTCGCAATGCAGCACTTTCTGCAGTCTCATTTTCCTCAATGAGGCCTGTGAGAATAATAACAACACAAGAACAATTTAACAGTTAGCACTTACCCACAGTATCCACTATTCTGAGATCAAATCCAGCTTACAAATGAGGTGAAACGTCCCCATTACCCTACTTTTACATAGGAAGAAACTGAGGCTTTAGGAAGGATTCAAATTCCTTGACTCATCATTGCTGCTGCTCATGTCTTCACTGACTGTCCACAGTATCGTGCTACCTTCCCATAAGATGGCATTGGTATTCTCATGAGGGAAAGAAGATGAGTGCTATGGCTCTTACAGATGAGAGGAGGAAGATGCCATATTCTCTTACCAAACTTGTGCACAATGCCTCCAATCTCCTAAAATGAACTGCATTCCCTCTGTGTGCTTCGCTATTAAATAGTGCTGAAGAGCACACTGAGCTACAGATCACCATCCTGAATTCTGGCTAGACCACTTAATAAAGACTGAAACTTCCAGCACATCTAAACACAGTTAACTGTCAGTGTTGTGTGACTGAATGTTTCCATCACTTACCTGCAGGAAATTCCAAGCAGTAGCCATTAATTGGAGGCCTGAACTGTTTCACTAGGACGATGCAGTCGTAGTGGAGAGTTCTCTGTAGCACAGCTATCACTGCCACACCTAGGAGCAGTGACAGAAGATATAAGCATGTACTATTTGAGTACAACAAAGCAAGCATTTAATGCTAGATCCAGGAGTGAACCTAAGGACACTAGCACTAGCATCAGGCTGGCAAACATTTAGATCACTGCTCTGTTATCCTGAATTATGAATTTAAACTCTATACCATGCACAATGAAAGATAAAATGGGTTCCTCACAATATCTCAGCCAACTAGAAGGAAGTGTGCTAAGCAAGACTTATCCTTAGCCCCCCAGTAGCTTGAGAGGCACTGTCTCACCTGCAGACACTGTCTGGAAACCACCGGATGGAACCCCTTCCTACACTCCTTCATGTCTGATTTATGTCCATCTTTTGCCTGAAGAGTGCTGTATGCTGAGCCCCTACAGCAAACCCAATTCATGAGTCTGTGAGCTGATGTGCACCAGGGCATCCATCACATCTTTGCAGTTCTCATCAGGTGAATACAGTGATCTTGGGAAAACACTCCTAGCAGCAAGATTCTGATTGCTGAACTCTTCAGTCAGTATTTCAGGAGAGCACACTTGCTCACTGCTATGGCTTATCCTGCAAGCCCTGCTGAGCTGTCTTTTTATTCACAAACTGGCTCTCAGGATGCACTGTGAGTTTATCAGAACGGTCCCAAGAAAAGATGCTAACAAAGAAACAAACATCACCACAGTCTTACCATCAGCTGAAACACTCTTTTGCCTGCCAACACGCTTCACGGTTTCCCAAGTTCTGTTCAGTATAGAGAAAACAAGTTGATAGATCAAAAATATCCACCTTTTGTAAGTTGTCTTCTATCCTTGCAGTTGTAATCAGAAAGCAAAACATGCCATTGTTCAGTGAGGCCCAGCAGGAAAGCAGCTGGCTGTAGGTAACCCCTGTCCTGTTTGGCCATGGAAGATGTCTGTGATAGAATTTTGTTTTGCATACACAAGTGAGAGAGAAAATGGATACCTGGTGATTGCTTAGGCTCACTAAACATAACGGAAAGACACAAATGACTGTCACAGAACAAATCATATAAAAGTGATCCTGGAAAAGTGCAAGATGGAGCAATTTATGTATTTAACATGCCAGATTTTGTTAGTTTTGAAAAAAGGCCACGTTCATTCTTTTATCTTGCTTTTATACAGTTTATAATGTAACTCTGAACTCACAGCTCACTTACTCGAACAAGAGAAGCACACAGGAAAGAAAGACAAACTTTTCTCTCAAAATAATCAATGGAATGAGTAAACTCCAAAAAGCCATCAGCTATAAAAATCCTTTCACAAAAGCTCCAGTCTTTGCCATTTCTTAAAAGGATACTTTGCTGATAAATAGGGAGGCACTGGAGAAAGCAATCAAGATAGAATGTAATACATTAAGGGGTGGTAAAATAAAGCTTGTCACGTCTAGATAAATATGGCATAACTAAAGCATACAAAAGAACTGGGCAAGCTTGATAACATACAGGAAAACAGTAACTTTTCAGTAGTTTGCAAGGTCCTGTACCATCAGCAGTGAAAATGAAGCCCTTAATGAGATCCCAGAAAAGCCAAAGGACAGATTCTGTGTCTATTTGCACTGATAGAACTTGCTTCTGTACAGCATCTGTATAAGGAACTGGAAATGCAAGGTAAATGAAGGTCTAACGAGCCCTGAAAGATTCAGGAGCCAAATATGATCCCACATGCTAGCATGCCTGCTAGAGAAGGACTTTTTTCTCTGAACAGGATGAACTATAAAGGAACTGCACAATAAATAGATTGCCACGTGTTGGGGAATAGGTTTGCAGGGTTCATATTCTGGCCGGCCCACAGAACTGGGAACATTACAGGCATCTGAAGAGGATCCACAAAGACAATTACCTGGTTTTACCAAAGGCATCAGTGTAAGTTGTTTCCTCAAGCTTCAACCATTTTCTTTCTACGATTACCTAAAAATAAAGTATTCTTTTTAAAATAAATTGTGAGATTTATCTCAAAGATACTTGGGTTTGGAGAGAGAAAAAACACAACTTTATTATAATTCTTTTGGAAATAAAATCTCAGCATCAGAACATATGCAAGAACACTTAACAACTTCCTGTAACTGCTGGGAAAAAGCATTTATGCCAAGTTCTTGAATTGGAATAGAAAATAAGCCTAGTAACTTCCTTTAACTTTTATAACCACATTTCAGTGAGTTCTTATTGTGTAACTAGAAACATTGCTCATAGCAATGCAGGATGTGTTAGCAAGGGGAAGAGAAGTTCTGGAAAACCAAACAGAAAAAAAGCCAACAAAAAACCCCACAACATTAAATTGTAGCAAAGGTTTGAGACCCAAAGGCTGTTCATGTGATAGGCACGTTTCCACCCTCTAGTGCAGGACAAAGAGCAAACGGGACACGTGCAGCCATGCGGATCATGAACCTAAATTGAGAGAGAGAGAGGTTCATCAACCAAAAGAACACTTAGAAGTGAAATGCAGTACGTGATGCAGCTCTTATCTGAAAGACAGACAGATGAAAATCGTTTCCTGTGGGCTGTCCATATCCTTCAGCTGAACAAACAATAAAGCCAAATATTTTGTAATACTGAATTTTATTTTATAATTTGTTTTGTTAAACACTGCAGAAAACAAAAAGAACTACTGGTCACGGCCTCATGTTCCTGAAGCACTCAGCAGAACTGGCAAATCACTGCTCCATCACCAAGTTCCTATTTGCTAAGGAGAAAGGGGAAAATAGCTGAAATCAGATTCTGGAGTCTGACAGGAGAAAGAAAGAACTGGCTGTAAGAAATCAGACACAGCCAAGCTCCATAAAGACAACTGAAGGAAAAAATGTAGATTTTATGTGTACAAAGCAGTGTTGAAGCATTGTGTTTTTAATCAGCTACTCTTTAAGCACAGCTTTTTGTCCTCTGCTGTCATGGAGAAATAATTAAAAAGTACTACAGGACACGCAGCATAAATGTTTACTTGGTAAGTGTTCTGCAGTCCCCTAAAGTCAGGTAAACCCTTCCTGCTCACTGCCTTCAGGGTGAGAAACCTGAAAGCTGACAGGTGTCTCTAGAAGAAAAATGGTTTTATTGTCACCCATACTGTTGGGTGCACAGATAAAACCTTTTAGAAGCTGGCCTACAAGCGTAACTCTTGCTTTGCAAAATTCTTTATCTGGGGCCTAATGGCACTTTCTAGGGTGTTCTGTGAGCTACACTCAGTTTTAAAATAAGCTACAATTGTTGCTTCACCTATTACTTTGATAGGCAAAGAATGTCATCTTTTGCTCACAGACTGTGGCTTCCAAGAAGCAGGTGGAAGATCAGCAGCTGCTTTCATGCAAGAAGATACTCTGACATCAAACCATTTAGATGCTGAAGACATACAGAAACACTTCAAGTACAAGAGTGACTGGCAAATGCACGGTAAACATTCTCCTCAAGAAAGCCCAGAAAATTACTAGAAAAGATAAATCATTTTGAATATGTAAGATCTCGTAACAAACTTCTGAATGACTCTGAAGAATGAAATATTATGAAGGAAAAGAGGTATGATTAAAAAAAAAAAAAGCATAAAATTATTATGTGACCTGAAACAAAGCATGTTGCAAGGTCCAACAAAAACTGGTAATGAAAGGTGAAAATGCTCCTAATAAGAACACAGAAATTCCTCTGAATTCCTTTCTGAGGACCAAATATTTTCTGATTCTGTGAAGGTAAGGTACAAGTACGACATTTTCAGAATATCTTACTATGTCCTTATCAGCATCCTTAGAAAAGCAATCATCTCAATTCAAATCCTTCCAGAAAGCGTGAAAGAAGGAAGAGTTGTAAATTTTAAGGCAACTCTCTGTGGCTCATCTTAGAGGAACAGATAACAAGGCTCATTTTCACAGTCCACCCATTTCTACAGGCTAGCAGAGGTATCAGCATTATTTCTTGACATTGACAACAGCCTTAACAGACAATACAAGAAACAACTGTAAAATCAGAAAAAAACCCCAAAAACAGAAGCTTACAAATACCTGAACGCTCTTCGACCTTCAGAAAGAAGTACTTCCTCTGAACAGATTGTACAAACCTTTAACAACTATCACAGTTCTTATTCTGCACTCACAAATACTTTGATCAGTCCCAATAACTGTTATTTAGCAATACAATGTGTCAAAACCAAACATGTTGTACCTCTTCTTTAAGGACGGATTGCTTAGCAGTTTTTGGAACTTGTGTGGATGTCTCAGCTGCCATTTTCAGGAATGTCAGGCTTTTCCCCTCCTGTGCAAAGTCCAGTCAACTATAAAACAAAGTCAATATTTGCTTTCAGAGTAAAGTTAAAAGGTTCATTTCTGCATTCTAAATTAACAAATGAAATTTGTTAGAGAAAGTTAGCAACATGTGACAGCATGTGCAGTTCACATTTTCAGCTCCACCTGACTGATTCAAAGGAAATTTGGATCAAAGCCCTGACTTACATGGTTGGTAACAGTCCTATCAACTACAGAGTAGCTGTACTGGCTGGAGATACCTGCCTTAACTGTTCAAAGTTCAGACACACACAGCGGGTCCATTTTAGCTGAGTTGGTTCATTCTGCTCAGAGATGTGCTCTGTCAATCATAGAATCGTAACAATGGTTTGAGTTGGAAGAGACCTTAAAGACTGTCCAGTTCCAACCCCTCTGCCATGGGCTGAGTGCTTCCCACCAGCTCAGGATGCCCAGAGCCCCATCCAACCTGCCTTGAGCATCTCCAGGGTTGGGGCATCCACAGCAACCCCCTCCCTCTCCCTGCTGGCCACTCCTGTTGATGCAGCCCAGGATACAGTTCGCCTTGTGGGCTGTAGGAGCACACAGCTGGCTCAGTCCAGCTTTTCATCCACCAGAACCCCAAGTCCTTCTCTGCAGGGCTGCTCTCAATGTGTTCTTCTCCCTGTCTGAACTGCCCCAACTGAAGTACAGCACTCTGCCTGTGGCCTTGAACCTCATCAGGTTCTTGTGGGTCACTTTTCGAATTTGCCCAGGTCCCTCAGGATGGCATCCCTTCCTTCTATTTTGTGAACCACCCCACTCAGCTTGGTGTCATCAGCAACTTCTCTGAGAATACATTCAATCCCACTATCTATATAATTGATAAGGATGTTTAAGAACACCAGTCCCAAAATATACCTGTGCTGGACACCACTCATCACCGACCTCCACCTGGACACAGAGCCATTGACCACGACCCTCTGGCTACAACAATCCAACAAATTCTTTACCCACTGTATTAACCACCAAGCAAACCCATCTCTCTCCATCACTGAGATAAGGATGTTATGTAGGACCTTATCAAAGTCCTAGCACAAGTTCAGATAAATGACATCAGTTGCTCTTACTTTGTCCACTGATGCTATCACTCCATCTTAGAAGGCCAGATCACCTCCTCATCTTGCATGAGCCTTAACATAACTTCCAGGAGGATCTGCTCTGTGATCTTCCTATGCACAGAGTGAGGCTCACTGGCCTGAATTTTCCTTTCTCCCTTTCTCAAAAAAATTGGACTGTTGTTTCCCTTTTTCCAGTCACTGGGGACTTTCCCTGAGTGTCACGACTTTTTGAATAGGATGGAGAGTGGCTCAGCAGCCACATCAGCCAGTTATTTCAGGACATTGAGCTGTATGTCATCCCACATTCAGTCTCATCAGGTGATCCTGAACTTGCTCTTCTCTTGCAGTGGGAGGGATTTTGCTCCCCTGACCTCACCTGTGAGTTCAGAGACATGAAAGACATGAAAAGCCTGACTACCAATGAAAACTGAGGCAAAGAACCATTGAGAACCTCAGCCTTCTTGTCCATTTTTGTCAGCACCCCTTTCTCATTTAGCAGAGGGAGTACACTCTCCCAGACCTTTCTCTTCTGACCAGTGTACCTACAGAATCCCTTCTTGTTACTTACTGTATCCCTACCAGGCTCAGTTCCATCTGTGCCTTGGCTTTCCTGATCTCATCTCTGCATGTCTGGATGGCATCTCTGTACTCTTCTCAGGCCACACATCTCTGCTTCCACTGCCTGTGTATTTCCTCTTTATTCCTCAGTTTAACCAGCAGGTCCCTGTTCAGCCATGCTGGCCTGCTGCCTCTCCTGCTTTAATTTATGTATGGGAGATAGAGAGCTCCTGTGCTCTGGCTTTCTCAGGCCTGATAAATTCCACTTTATATCACAAATGTGGGCCCTTGACAGGTCGCAAACCTCTCTAAAGAGGTTGTCCAAGTGGCAAATGGATGCCTCAGTGCCTCTCAGTGAGGATCCTTTGTTACTAATGACCTTTGCCTTTTTTGGTGGCACTGGTTCTAGTAATAGGTGCTTGGCTGGATCAACTTCATATGGTTGTCCTTTCCTGGGTCTTGACTGTTACCGACACCCTCTGCTTTTTTTCAGTCCCAGAGCCTTCCATCTGTTCTGCTCCAAGCAGAAATGGGTCCAATCTCCCTCATCTTGCTTGTTATTGCAGTCTATCTTCTCATAGATGGAAGCTGGATTCACTTCTTTCCCTTCCATGAACTTAAGACAGGGCTGTCAGTCTGCCCGTGTCACTGCACGGTCAATCTCCCTCAGATTCCTGGATACTATGCTGCTTGGTGATTTCCTCTCACAACCTGGCCACCTGCTCAAAAGAAAGCTAGGCACACTTGCACCCATGTCACAGCAACCCCACAGCCAAAAGTCTGGATGGCTCCTTTGTTCATTGGGAGGTGTTGGGGTGCCTGCATTTGCCAAGAAGGTTGTGGCCTGCAAGTCTGGGTTTCTGTTCATCTGTAAGACATTGATAAGCATGAATCTACACCTTTCTCACATATAAGATTTGTATTTAATTCTTTAAAGTAGTGTGGAGTAGATAGTACGAAATATTTCTCTTCATCAGCAGGATTAAAATGAATGTATATAAATCCATTTCCTCACCAAGTACGCAGGGGAAGCTCTTCTTTAAGACTGTTGGATGCAGTACATCAGTGTGGCCATTAAGCTTTCAAATTGCCTTTAGGTATCATACAGCTTGTAAAGGAACCCTGACTAATTAAATCAAATTCTGTCATTTCAAAAACATTGCATAAACCTTTCTTTAACAAGCAAAGCTTAAAACTATGTAGCTTTCCTGTTCTACTACTACTGTGAAAATCTGTTCTATAACCTCACTTTCTTACAATGTCTGTCTTATATTACTTCACAGTTAGCTGTTTTGTTGTTAAGCCACAACGTATCAAGCCCTCCTCACCTAAGAGATGTGGCTGGACAATAACCATATTATCTTGCTGTGACTCTAACACATAGTATCAAGATTTCCACCGAACACATGCAAAATATGCCCAGCAAACGGGCTCTAAGAGTTCCCTGGTCTACACGAAGCAGCCAGCTAGGCCCTATGTGATGCCCTAAGTATCCAGTTTCAACAGCATAAAAAAAAAATCACATCCCTAAATACAAAAAAATAGATCTCCAGTGTTTGGAAAGAATTACTGCTTTTTTGATTGACAATATGTACCAGTCAAAAAGAGTACAGTGAACCATATCACTATTCCTTCAGCAGACTGAATAAGTCTTCCTCTTTTAGTCTCCTCTCAAAGGAAATCCCGTTCCATTCTTCATCATAGTACTTCTACACTGACTTCCCAGCATCAGTGTATCACTCTCTCAAACATAGATGGCCACAGTTGTATCCAAAATCTCCCACCCTCCCCATGCAGCGTTATTAGTGCTTAGTATAACTGCATGAATACCTACTATATCAATTACAAATACATCCAAGGACCTTATCTCATACCAGAAGCTCTTTTCAACACAGCTTGTTCTTCTCTGCAGTGGACAAATTCAGGACTAACTTGTGACTAAAATTACAAGAAGTTGTTGAAGACAGCTTCGCTTATATGAAATAGCACCAAAATCTAAAATAGGCAAAAATGAGACTCATCTGTACCAAATTACGTGGTGTTGATCTCTTCCACCAGTGGGTGCAATAACTCCACATATGAGTGACATTTTAGAGATCTAACAAAAACATATGTATGTATTTTCAACTCCAACTGAATATAGAATTGAGAGTTGAAATATCTCTTGGTTAAGTCTAAGGCTGTAATTCTGCTATCTCACATAAGCCAAGTGTGCCCTGGAAAAAGTGGCAGCACAGTTCTTTCATAAAAATTTGTTGCAAGTGAAAATTGTATCTAAATCTGCAATGTAAATCCCTGCCTGAGGTTTCAGAACAGCTGTTGTCTCACAGCCCACAAACAGGAAGGTTCTCATAAAACTACCATTGCAGCATTTCAGTTAAAAATGCAGCTGACACAGCAGGCAGGATCCCTATTACTTATGATCTGCGAATTTCAATATTTAACAGTTATCAGTAAAACTTTAAGAATACATTAGAATGTCCACATTTACCAACCTGCTTAGCATGAATCGATAGTATTTGAACTAAAAATCAGAGAAGAAAAACTTGGCTTGCTTCTACCTTCTCTGATGACTTTGATAGTTAGTATTCCTGTATTATTCCAAACTATGCTACTTGTTCCACTCACACCATGTGGGGCTCAAATTCAGACCTGAAAGAGCCATACTGTTATGAAATGTATAACTTCACGCTCATTACTTGTTCCCTTACTGGGCCAGTGCCTTCCAAGCATCATCTTTTTGACATCAGTTTCTAAATTACCCTTCACAAACATTAAGATCTAAAACCTGCTGTGGTTTGTGAATCAGCTCACAGAGTAGCCAAGCTACTTGGGCCTATCCGATTCCCAGCAGATGGATTGATTCACAGAATCACAGAACGGCCAGGGTTGGATATAGAGCAATTGATGACCTGTGTGGTAACTGCTGAATCATGGCCTGAACCTCTGACTGATCACCTGAGGCGAGCAATGAGTCAGCTCTGGGAGCACAGGTGAAGGCAGTTCACCTGTGCTGCTGGAAGGAGTGGAGCCTCCTCCACCTCTCCTAGACCCATGTAAGAGCTGACTACCAGTAGGGAAGGATCTCTTTCTGGACATTCATCCTTTGGACTTTTACAGTAAGTGCCATACAAGGGTAAGCACTCTATCTGTTCTTTCTTTGGTATAATAATCTGCTTAGCCAAATTCTCTTATGTTTGGTAATTATAACACCTGTATATTCATTGATTATACAATGACCACCTTCTGTCTGCAGCCTTCTAACCAATTTTTTTTTATCTGTTGGGTGGTCCACCCATCAAATCCACATCTCTCCAATTTGGAGATAAGGATGCTGTGGGAGACCATGTCAAAGGCCTTGCTCAAGTCCAGGTAAACGATGTCAGTCACCTTTTACTTGTCCATTAATGCCATCACTCCATAGAAAGCCATCAGACTGGTCAAGCATTACCTTCCCCCTAGTGAAGCTGTGCTGGCTGTCTCAGTCACACACTCATTCCTCGTGTGATCAAGCATGTCTTCCAGGAAGATCTGTTCTATAATCTTCCCAGGCAAGAGGTGAAACTCACTGACCTGTAGTTCCCTGGGTCCTCCTTGGTTCCTTTCTTGTAAATGGGAGTGACGTGACTCTTCCTCCAGTCATCTGGGACCTCATTTGACTGCCTCGACACTTCAGATATGATGGAGAGCAGCTCAGCAACTACCTCAGCCAGCTCCCCCAGAACCCTGGGATGCACACCATCCAGCCCCATAGACTCGTACACGTTCAGTCTCACAAGGTGGTCTTGGACCGGCTTCCCCCCCTTTACAGCAGGGGGGATTTACCGCTCCAGTCCTACCTAGAGGTTTTAGGGATGAAGGAAGATTACCTTTCCTAAATCTCTTTTCAACCAGCCCACAGCAGGACTTGGATCAGGTGATCCAGCACCATCCTGCAGCTCCCTTCCAACCCACACCATGATGCGCTGGTTACGAGCAATGAATCCAACAGCACGCGAGGTACAAACCACTAATGTGACCACAGTGCCTTTCACACACTGATTTGTTACCAAGCTGCAGCTGTATTACAGCAAAACCTTTCTAGTAACAGAATCAACTGGTGAGAAGCTGACAGGAGAAAGACAAGCAGCAGGAGAAATGCTTCATTTCTGCTCTTGTATTGAGCCGTGTGGGTGACTGCTAAACACCACTCAGGACTAAATAAAGCAGAGATAATTAACCAGCCCTTACCCTACAGATTAAAAACATAAATGGAGAGAAAAAGGCAGGTTTGTACAAGCAGAATTGGGTTAATGGAATCTTAGGAGAGCTGAGGACAGCCTCAGATTTAAGGAAAGCAATGAGAAGGAGCAAGCTGGCCTTGGCGTGAGGGCACGGGGCTTACAGCCAGCGTCTTCCTCACAACTGCACGGCGAGGCGGCGGCGGCGGCGAGCGGAGCGGAGCGGAGCGGGGCGGGGCGGGGCGGGGCGGGCGTGTGCGCAGCCGGCAGAGCTCCGGGCGGCTCCGGGAACGGCTGAAGAGGTTCCGGGGAAAGCGGGAGTTTCCGGAACGGCGGGGAAAAGAGCGGCTCGGGCTGCGGGAGAGGATGAAGAAGGAGCAGGTGGCGCGCTGCCAGTTCTCCGTGTGGTACCCGCTGTTCCGCGCCGTCACCATCCGCAGGTGAGGGGCTGGGAGCGGGGCGGTGCTGGCGGTCAGGAAGGAAGGACTCAAGGAAAGCCTGGGCGGATCTTAAGGCAGCGACTCAGTGATCGAAATATTTAATCGTTTCATGAATTTTCATGCTTGCCGACGTCTGTGTTTGGGCAGCCCGGTCAAGGCCAGGTTGGGCTCTGGCGGCCTGATCTGCTGCCTTTTTAGTGGGTGGCAACAAGGCGCGCTGCAGCCAGCTGAGCGTTGGGGTCCCTCCCAACTCGGTCTGTGATTTCGTTTAGTGAGAGCCGTGCGTGTTTACACCGCCAGAGACGGGCTGCCATCCGGAGAGCTGGGCGGGCTGCAGCGCCGGGCCCAGCTGAGCCGCGTGAGGTTGAACAGAGCAAAGCGCCAGGTCTTGTGCCTGGGTTGTGGCAGCACCCTGGCAGTAAGAGAAGGGGGATGTAAGGATGGAGCACAGCTCTGCTGATAAGGGCTTGGGGTAATGGTGGATGGGAAGCTGGATGTGAGCCAGCAGCGTGTCCTCACAGCCCAGAAAGCCGACTGTATCCTGGGCTGCATCAAAAGAAGCCAGCAGGGCGAGGGAGGTGATCCTGACCTACTGCCCTGTGCTCGTGAGGCCTCATTTGGAGTGCTGCATCCAGATGGGGAGTCCTCAGTACAGGGGAGATGTGACCTGCTGGAGGGGAGGGCTACAAAGAGGCTACAAAGATGATCCAAGCGATAAAACGCCTCTCCTATGAGGAAAGGCTGAGAGAGCTGGGGCTGTTTAATCTGGAGAAGAAAAGGCTGTGAGGTGACCTGAGAGCGGCCTCCCAGGATCTAAAGGGGGGCTGTAAGAAAGAAGGGGACAGGGTCTTTAGCAGGGTCTGTGGTGATAGAACAAGGGGAAATGGTTTCAAGCTTAAAGAGGGGAGATTTAAGTTGGATACAAGGAAAAAGTCTTTCCCATTGAGGGTGGCAAGGCACTGGAACAGGTTGCCCAGAGATGTGGTGAATGCCCGATCCCTGGAGACTTTCAAGGTTAGGCTCTGGATGGGGCTCTGGGCATCCTGATCTAGCTGTAGGTGTTCCTGTTCATTGCAGGATAGTTGGATTAGATAGCCTTGGGGTATCCATTCTGATTAAAAGGATTCTATAATATTTGGAACGCTATGTTGATATAGACAAATTTAGATTGGCATCTCCAAAGGAAGAACTTTATTTTGAACAACATGTTGTCCCCCTGCACTGTCCACACATCTTTTCTTTGTATTTCCTAGCAGTTTGTAAAGTTAGAGTGTTTTTGTTCATTTCATAAAAAAATTTCTGCCTTTCTCCCATACTTTCCTTTAGGGAGAAAGGGAGAAAGTGAGGGGAAGCAATAGAAATTTGTATTTTCATAGAGTTAGAGAAGAAAGCGTACTACTATGGTATGTTCCATTAAAAAATAATTATCTAACTGTTTTAGTAAGTGATGTTATTAATAAATTATTAAAGTAATTCTTTTTTTCTTTTCCTAGTGTCATACTTCCCCTACCAGAGAATGTGAAAGAATATTTGCTGGATGATGGAACACTTGTGGTTTCTGGAAGGTAAAGAGTGTTTACTGTCCACCATGCAAGTATTAGTGCTGTTTTATTGTAACAATGATATTTGTGTTCACTTATTGTAACTTACATAATTAATTTTGTAAATTTGACCCATCTCACTGCAGTAAACCTTGTACTGTGTGAACGTGTGTGTACAAGCTAGTGCTATTAGTAAAATTTACTTGCTAATGCTTAATGCAGATCCCAAAATCCATACGATGTGTGTGATTCCAGACTAGGTAGGGGCAGTTCTTTTTATTTGTCCTTCCAGAGTCTAACAGTTCTCAGGTGTCAGTGCCCATCCTGAAGGTGTTTGGTTGCTTTGGTACAGTTGGTTGCAGCTCAGTGCCTTGAGCAGTGCTGCAGCATTCCTATGCCTGCAGCCTCATACAGGGATGGAGTGTCCTTATATGAGTTGAATTCTCAATAATGTAAATCAAATATGAAATCTTACTAATTACTGATGTGATATAATCATTTGCTTGCCTATAATCAGTGCATATGATGAGGCTGAATGTACTGCCTGTATACCAATGCTAACATTCTGAATGAAGAGTGAGAGTGGTGTCTATGAAAAACAACTTATATGAACCTAGGCTTTATTCTTTGTTTTTGGCTTAGAATTTTACCATATAACTCCCTTATAAAATGATTATTGCATGCATGCATCTTGCTGGTAACCAGACTCAGAGGAGTTTGTCTTCCACAGAGCAACCAATTAGACTGTGAATATAAGGGAGCTAGGTCTAATTTCACAGGAGCCAATTCACACAAAATTGAAGCTGTTTAAATGCCTTGTAAAGGTGAAAAGTGGGAATTATCTCTAAAACCATTTTGGATAAGAAGCAACGTTGCTGCCTTCTGCAGAACATTGTAATTTATTTAATAACAGCCATTTAATTTGTAATCAGACTTCAGAAAAGCTGAAACAGATGCTCTAAGTTCACAGCTGTGCTGTATGAACAGGTTTGGTATCTCAGTGGAATAATGGACATCTGTATAATTGACTTCAGTTATATTGAATAATTCCAATTTAAAATTCCCTCCTAAAACCTCATTTTTCTCTTGAGTTGAACATTCTTAGCTGGAAGTGCTAAAAGTCAATGTGATCTTCTTACAGTCAATGCTGTCGTGAATTTTAAACCTCAGTGAGCCTCTCATCTGAGCTCTAGATTTCAAAAAGTGAATGGACAGTTTGATCCCTGTGAAAGTGCATTAAAGAATGTACTGCAGAAATGTGGCTTGTTGAAGAACTGAATTTTTGCTAGCAGCACTTAGCTGCAGAGATTTGAACTTAACCTGATTGCTATGCTAACTTGTCTTCTTGTTCTCCTTCTGCCTTAAAGACTCAGTCATATTGGCTAAAAAAAAGCTTCAGAAGTCACTTCAAATTTCAAGGGAGTATTTGCACTCAAGTGCTTTCTCCCAGAGCTGCTAATGTGTACAGCAGCACATCTCATCTGTGTAGAAAAAGGAACTTTCCAGGAGGAAGCTAATGACTGCGTAACCACTTCAAGTAGGATCTTCTGTGAGCAAAGTGTGAGGGTGTTTTGTTTTCAGAACCAACAGTCTATGGGTCAGCATTTGAAACTTGATTTTTCAGGTCTTTTTTTTGCTTGAAAAGGAGTGTGAAGGCAAAGCATAATTTAAGCTGATCTTTTAAAAAAACAAGTTAGTGGTACTGCGTGAGTACAGAAAAGATCAAAAAGAATGATTAACAGGGTGTGGAAAAGCTTGGATTACGGTGTGTTCAGAGCAGAAAGTGTTTCTTCATTAGAAAGAATCCCAGTATTTTGGACAGGGTGCAAGTCCTATGTTGGGGTGTTTTGTCTTCACTTTTTCTGTACTGGCTTGCTCTGGTTTTCTTTGTTGAGATTTTGAGGCTTAATCCTCTTAGGAAAGCATTCTGAGATCAGCAGTTGGTAGTTGCTGTGGAATTATAATACATGTGGTCAATTCAAAGTCCAGTGCTCATTTGTTTTTTTTTCTCTGCTCATTTTTTGGCTCAGAGAAGATCCACCAACTCAAACCCCAGAGGGGAGTGATGATGCAGAAGAAATACAGGTCAGTAATACCTCAACTTTGTTTTTCCTTTAGAGACTTGATGTTAACATGTAACTGTTTCTGCATGCTTTACAAGTGAGGATGGTACTTCACCAAAATGGTTATCACATGTTATTTGCCTTAGAAGAAGTTTACAAACATAATTATTTGTACTGTGACATCAAGAAAAGTTTGAAGTGTTTCTGTGCTCTCTTGTTAATTACATTTCTAATAATGACCAGGGAATGCTGTGAGATAATGGAAGTGGAAAATATTGCTGTTTTATGCCATGAAAGATTAGAAGGAGTGTACTTAGAGGAGTTACGTCAAGAAATAATGAAAGTCCTTAAGGCTGTAATAACTCAGAGAGGTATTGCAGAATTAAAAAATGCTGGAAAGTGTTATGAAAGCAAGGTGACAGAAATTACAAAAGGGGTGAGAAAGAGGAAGGTAAGTGAGGACTAATGGACTGTGGGTTTAATCATAGGATCATAGAATCACTCAGATTGGGAAAGACCTTAAAGATCCCTGAGCCCAACCACAACATGACCATACTACCCTAACTAACAACCCACTGCTGCATCGTGTCCCTGAGCACCACATCCGAACGGTTTTTAAGCACATCCAGGGATGATCTCTCAACCTCCTCCCTGGGGAGCCCATTCCAGTGCTGAACAACCCTTTCTGAAAAGATTTTCCTGATATCCAACTTAAACTTATCCTGGTGCAACTTAAGGCCATTCCCCTCATCCTGTCACCTGTCAGCAGGGAGAAGAGGCCAACCCCGCTCTTGCTGTGAGCACCTTTCAGATGAAGAGAGCAATAATGTCTCCCCTCAGCCTCTTTTTCCCCAGACTCAACAGCCTCACTTCCTTCAGTCTCTCCTCATAGGGTATATTCTCCAAGACCTTCACAAGCCTTAATGTAGAAGTGTGGGAGGCAAAGGTTTAGGTAGGAAAGGCTCTACAGAGTTCTGCAGTCTTGTATATGAATTGCAATCGTCTTATATGGGTGTTGTCTCTTATTTGTACTTCACAACAGTACTTCTATTGAATGTACATAATTTTTCCTGTCTTAATTTGTAACTGTAATAATTGGAGGCATATTTTTCTGCAGTATAATCAGGGCAGTGATTTTTACATGTTGTAGGAAGCTGTATAGATTCTGATGTTCTCATAAGTGATGTCACGGGAAGCCA